ACTCCTGCATTGCTGGTGGGACTGCAAAATGGTCCAACCTCTCTGGAAAGCAATATGGCGTTTCCTCAGAAGGTTGAAAATAGAAATACCTTATGATCCAGCAATTCCTCTACTTGGTATTTACCCACGAGAAAAAAGAGCCACAATCCGAGAACATATATGCACACCAATGTTCATAGCAGCACTATTTACAATAGCAAAAAGATGGAGGAAGCCAAAGTGCTCATCAACTGAAGAATGGATAAACAAACTGTGGTACGTACACACAATGGAATACCATGCTACCTTGAAGAACAACAAGGAAGCTGCAAGCCACCGCATAACATGGATGAACCTTGAGGGCATTATGTTGAGTGAAATTAGTCACAGAAAGAGAAATATTGCATAGGTCCACTACTGTAAAAGACTAAGGGAAAGAACCCATACTAAAGGGGGTGGGGGGAATTCTTTGTTGATTATTGGGATGTTGGGTGTGGGTGAGGGGAGGGAGGGGAAGGTGGAGCACAGGGTAGGGAATAGACACAGGATAATTTGGATACTAAGGAGGGGGGCAATACACAAGAAAGGGGAGGGGAAAGGAAGAACAAGGCGGATGGGAAAACAATTAGGCAGGTTTTCATGGGCTAAGTGGGACAGAGGTAAACAATAATGTATGCACAACCTTGGAACAACAGGGCTCTGGGACATAGGGATTGAGACATGGTTGGAATCGGGGAAAGAAGGGAATAATGTTAAGATGCTTGGCTGTCTTTTCAATCTTGGTTTACCTTGCATACCATTATAAAATAGACACTTAACGGGGAGAGAAAGGAATAGCCAAGAAATATCATCATAGAAATCCTGTAAGTCTGTCTTCTGCCTATAACTGTTGCAATACTTAAAATGGGGCTACAATGTGCACAGTGAAGGAGACTTCCTGTGGAGCCTCTGCAATACGTAAGACCATAGGTGGAATCCTAAACCACATCCAGAATCATCTGAGGTGGGAAATTTCTACTTGAAAGGATAAGCAGAGTAGCCTGGAGTGGCTAAAGAACAGAAGATACTTCTTGAAAGAAAGACTGACAGGAAAAATACAAAACAATATAGGCAGTCTGACTGATTACTACAAGAACAAGCAAGTTGCTCACCCAGGATACATCAAGGCAAGTGGTCGGGTCCTCTCAGGGCAAACCCTGTTCCAAGACTAAGATCAATGGGAATACATGCTCTGATTGGTGACCATGTTCATCACCGATAAGGGGCAGTGAGGGAAAAATGAAGCTGTGAGCTAAGCCCTACAACATTCAATAGACTCCTGTGAATCCATGTGGAGACCTGGTTGGCCAGCAGTGTGGCAAGACCTGGGGACTCTTGGGCCCAGAGTCAGTGACAAAGCCACAGAGGACTAGAGTGGAGAGAGTGAAGTGTCCAGCTGATAAGAAGAGCAGGCATACGCATAAGAATACCCATACTTGCAGATAATACCCACTTGACCTGGCTTCAGTGAGTGGATGATCAGAGCTCAGCTAGAAGAAGAAGGAAGAGGAAATAAAGGGTAATCTGATACAATTTGATGAACTTGACCTACATCTATGGATACAGTAGCTAAAAAGAGGGAACAAATCTTTAAAGC